TGTCAAGACTGACTCCGCTGGGCGAGAAATGTTGTGCAGCTCAATGAGACAAGAATTACGCAGTACCCGTTTTGTCGGTCTTAATGAGTTGGGTGTTTAGCAGACGAGAAGCTTGAAGGCCTTACTACGCGGAATCGGCTCCCTCCCAGAAAGCCACTGACAAGATGCCACTTTTCGACATTTCTTAATTTGTGGGCTTCCCTGAGGACGGTCTTATTCACGGCAAGTTCTTGTGTTTACTCCACTACGAGAGCAAGCTCCCCAGCTCACCCGTGAGTGCTCTGAGACGTTTGATATTATTAATTGGCGTTCGAACGCTTGGCGAATACAGATTCGGTCTCCAAACACCCGATATAATGATCGCAGGAGATGATAAAATACTCGCCTTTGAGCAAAGCGTACAAGCTTAAATATTCATACTTTTGTGCTTCTTCAATAAACTCGGGTGTATTGCCCGGAGTCAAGTAATGGCCGCCTGTGGTGCCACCGACGGGCTCCGGACACGTTTGCAAGTCCGGCTTCAGGGCGCTGCCATCTTGCTTTGCTGGGGTGCGCTTGGACGAGTCATAAACCGATTAGGAAGCCTTGCTAAGGCGACGTAATCGGAGTATGGCCGCGGCCAAGAGAGCACCCCACTGAGGAAGATGGCGGGGCCCGGAGACCGGACTTGCAAACGTGTGTAGAGTAGTAAAAAGCGGTTTTGTTGGAACCGACGCAACTGTTGCCATAGCAAGCCGTACGTCGCAAGCCGTTGCAACGACTTAACGCAACTGTGTGAATTGCCCTTAAAGGGGCGCTGAATTCGATTCTGAGATCGTCTTTTTGTGGTGACAACCCAATCCAGACGCTCATTACACAGCAATGGCTGTGTAATGGCCGTTCCCACGTGCGTTTGTTTTCGGGTTAGAAAAAGTTAGAAAAAACGGAGAGGAAAAACGGGGAAGAAAAACGGGAAGTTAGAAAACAACGGGGAGGAAACGAGAAAGGATGAGCCCCCACAGGAAAAACGGGAGAGGGGAAGGTAGGAAGAAAAATGTGGCAAAAAAGACAGAGGTAGAGTGCGAGATATGCGAAAAATGGGTCGACCTGGAAGAGACACAGTTCAAATGTGAAGAGTGCAATAAGACGGAACAGGAAACGGGACGACCCACGGAGGAAGAAATGAGACGTGAGTGGGAAATGCTGAGAAGCATGATCGAAGAGCTGCGGGTACAAATCACGGAAGAAAGGTTAGAGAGAACAGCAGCAGAGAACAGAATGACGGCAAAACTCGAGGATGAAAGGACACAAAGAGTGGTGGCTGAGACCAGGCTGATGGAGGTACTAAATACAGAGATGAAAGAGAGGAGAAACACACGGGGCGACACTGACTCAATCGGGAGAGTGCAGGCGGCGGTTGATAGAAGAGACGACGGAAACGGGCCCCTACAACGGGATGGTGAGGAGGTCAAGGCGAGGAGAGAAAGTGGCACGGAAAACGGCGCACGCAAGAAGAAAAGCAACAACAAGTCACGAGAGTCAGTCAACAGGGGCCAACTAATGCCAAGGGAGAGGCAGGAGAACACCAACACTCCTGAGATGGGGAGAATCGAAACAGAACAGCCCAAGAGAAGTGGCAGTGAGGCCAACGCCGCAGATAAGAGGGAAACGTGGGAAGCGAGCCATACAAGTGACAGGAGAGTATTAGTGGTGGGTGACACAGGAGCATACAAAATGAAGAGAAAGGTACTCAAGGCAGTCGACTATGACAAGCGGGTCTACTTTGCAACTAAACCCGGGGCCCAGCTGAAAGAAACGATGGCTCGGGCGGAAAGGGATCACAGAATATGGCAAGCAGGAACAGGAATGGTTGTCATCCATGCAGGGAGTATGGATATGCGGGGAGAAGTGACGGCACAGAGTGCCATAAATGAACTGGAAGAACAACTGAAGAGGTGGGTTCAGATGTCACCGGAACATCAGTATGTGGTATGTGCAGTTCCAGTAGAAAGTAGTGTAGGCCCAACAAAAGAAAAAAGCATACAAATGAACACGCTCACGAAAGAAATGACACAGCGGTTGGGCCCTAGAGTGGAGTTTGTGGATGTCAACATACCTGCTGGTGAGGACCAGGGAGACACTCACAATGGTGAGGGAGCAGAAGAGATGGGACGAAGCCTAGGCATCAAGATTGAGGCTTTTTTAGGCTCAATGCCAGTCAACAAGGGTATGGCATCACAAACAAGGACGCAGGGAAGAAACATCAGGAAACAAGGATGGCACCACAGGTTGCAGAAGATCGAGGAACAGCTCCAACGGATGCACCAGCAACAGGGGAGACAATATTGAGAGGGCACAGGGGAAAAGCGAAGGGCATGGCAGTGAGAGGAGAAAAGCTACAAGAGGCACACAGACAAAACCCAAGACGAACCATGCGGGAAAAAAGAAAACACAACGACTTGGAGAATACGTCCCCCATATTACAAGAGGAAAAAGAGTTAGCTAGTGAGGAGTTGACAGATGCGGACAGCTGGATGGACGGGGCGGGGGTGGAAAATCCACAACCAAAGGAAACGGTAGAGATAAGGATGCAGCCGAAAAAGGCAAGAAAGAGAACACGCAGGGGACAGAGGAGAACGCGACAAACTCTGGCTTTCCTGAACATGCAAGGAGGGAGAAAAGCAGCGAAATGGGAGGAGCTGTACGCTTCAATGGAAGAGGAGAGTCTTGTGGGGGTGGGACTGGTGGAAACCCACCTGAGGAATTCGGAAGTACCACCAGCACATGAGAAATTCACTTGGCAGGGCCAGAACAGAAGAGGTGGGGAGCGAAAAGGGGGAGGTGTGGGCTTTCTGGGGACGGCTACAGGCGAATGGGAAAGACAAAGGGAAAGCTGTGTGGAGCACCTGTGGATGACAGGGAAGATAGGGAAGAAGAAGGTGGCAATCGGAATAGTGTACCTCTGGACTGGAAACAAATCCGAGGAAGCAAACAAGGCACAACTGACCTGTCTACAGAAGGACGTGGAAGAACTGAACTTACCCATCATCATACTTGGAGACTTCAACGCGCATATAGAGGAACTGGATGAGAGGACAGATAAGATGGGTCGGGAACTCCTATGCTGGATGGAAAAAATGGGACTAGTGATGGTGAACGGGACAGAAAAAAGTAAAGGGAAGATCACATGGGCAGTTCGAGAACGTTCCTCATGCATAGACTACTGTCTCATGTCTCCAACTTTATATGAAAACCTAACAGAGATGACAATAGACGAGACTGGCGGAGCGAGTCTTGGAAGTGATCACCGCCGACTGACATTGGAGTTTGGGGCAACCAAATTAAGACAGTCACCGATGCCAAGGACACCCAAGGGGCTAACCAGTAGGGAAATGGAGAGAGTGGTGGAGGAGCTGGAAAAGGAGGCGGAGGATGAACCCATACGACAGTACACAGACGTGGTGAGTTGGATGTGCAAGTGGATTACAAAGGTCAAGGGAATAAGGAGTGGACACCGAAAACGGAGACAAAGGAGAAAGAGATGGTGGGACACAGAAGTGGAAGAGGCAAGAAACCGGAGGAGAGCAGCATCCAGGAAGCACGGTGAAGCAGTCAAAATGAAGGCACAGAGAGAGGATATTCTCAAAGCATGGGAAGAATACCAGGAAAAAAAGATTGAGTTCTCGACTATGGTGCAAAGAAAGATGAAGAAGGTGGACAGACAACTGCTTGAGGAATTGCGAAGCAGTGGCAGAGATGCCCCAAGAAAGTTCTGGCAACATGTCAGGGGCGAAGAGAGATGGGCAGAGCCTAAACCGACAACAATAAGAGATGCCACAAGCGGAGTAGTCCTGACTGGACAGGAATGTATCCGGCACATCGCTCTGGCAATGACGGAGAGCTTCGAACAACCAGATGCAGTAAGACGGAGTGACCCCCTGAGGGACAGCACGAGAAGTACCCAACAGCGCCGAGCTATATCCCAGGGCGAGTTGAACAGGGCCATGCAACGCATGGATGGTCATACGGCAACGGGTCTAGATGACATTCCAGCAGGCCTTCTGAAGAAAATGGGAGGAAAGTCCAGGGAACGGCTCCGAGAGGGTCTCTCCTGTGTGATGGAAACAGGTGACATACCGGAGGACTGGAAAAGATCCCGGATCAGGATGCTATACAAGGGGAAAGGAGACAAGCTCATCCTGAAAAACCACCGTCCGATAACAGTGACCTCGGTGCTCTACCGGATTTTCATGCATGTACTGAAGGAGCGCCTACAGAGCTGGGCTGAGCATGAGGGCATACTCGGGGAACTCCAAAACGGATTTCGCAGGGGAAGGAGGTTGGAGGACAACCTGTTCATAATCACTCAGGCTATGGAGATCGCCAACCACGAGCAGAGGCCCCTATACCACGGTTTCTTGGACATCTCCAAGGCTTATGACTCTGTGAACCATTCGCTGCTCTGGAGGGTATTGGAGGAGTTGGGAATACCGATGGAATGGAGGGACCTGCTCCAACAGATATACAGAGACAACAGCGTAGTGGTTCAGTGGGGGGCAGAGTTCACCGAGCCCATAAAGGCCACAAAAGGACTAAGACAGGGGTGCCCGCTTTCACCACTTCTGTTTATGTTGTACATTGCGGGACTGGAGAGAGCACTGGAGGACAGTCGCTTGGGTTTCAGGATGTGCTACGGTGAAGAGGGGAGGCAAGTGGATCAGAGGATCCCTGCCTTGATTTATGCAGATGACGTGGTACTTAGGGCGGGGTCCTTGGAGGAACTTCAGGAATTACTGGACATCTGTGGAAAAGACGGAACCACCCTGGGGCTAACGTTCAACCCCAGCAAGTCTGGAGTCCTTGGGGCGGGGGTGGAGCAACAGGAAACAGAGGATGCCTCTACGCAGCTGTCGCAGAGAGTGAACATCCAGGGCCAAGAGATAGAGTGGAGGACCGAATATAAGTAATTGGGAGTGACGCTGCAGTCGGGACGAAAGTACCTCGAACAACATGAGGCCGAGCTGCGGACCACGGCGAACAAACGCAAGGGCTACCTGGGATGCAGGGGAATGTGGAGCTTCAGCCGATACGAGACGGTGCGGGCACTCTGGAAAATGGTGGCGGTGCCGGGTTTGACCTTTGCCAATGCCGTACTGTGCCTGTCGGCACGTACACGAGAACATCTGGAAGTGAGGCAGCGAGAGGTGGGTCGCCTGGCGCTGGGAACACACCGAAACACCACCAGTGAGTACGTCCAGGGCGACATGGGTTGGTCCTGCTTTGAGGCCCGTGAGGCCAGCAGCAAACTGATTTTCGAGCGGCGGCTTTGCACTTTGCCGGAACAACGATGGGCTCGCCAGGTGTTCAAGTACATCCACCTTCGAAGCATCAACACCCGGTGGGTAAGGAGAGTGAACAAGCTCACGGAGCGATATGACGTGCCACGGGTGCTGCTGTGCGAGGTCGAATCTCCGGGGACGGCGAAACAGGTGCGGGAACGCGTGAAGGAGACAGAAACGACCAGATGGGTCGCCGCGGTAGGCGCGCGGCCGTCCCTCGCCGTCTACGGTGCGGAAAAGAAGAGCATTGTGGGCGTGGATTTCGTCGACAACTCGAGGGGCAGTGGGCTGCTGTGCGAGGCACGAAGTGGAGTGTTGAGGACACGCCACCTGAGGTCCAAGTACACACCGGGGATGGACGGTACATGCCAGCTATGTGGCCAGCAGGAGGAGACAGCTGAACATATCATAATGGAGTGCCGAGAGCTGAGACCGCTGATGCCACCAGATCTGGTGGATTATGCGGTTGCACTGGGTCTGAAAAGGTTGGACTTGGGACCGACACCATCGACAGGTCAGGGGCAGACGACGCAGACGACGTGCATCAATGAAGTGGGAAGTCGAGACCATGGTGGCCAGCGCAGTCAGCGGGGGGATGTCGGCGGCCTCGGGGTGGTTGAAATCGCAAAGCGAAGACTGGAGGACTGGTGGGGGAAAACTGTGAGGAGGGTGGGGGGCAATGGCAATCAAATTTAGGTTTTTTTTTTTTTTTTTTTTTTTTTTTTTTGGCTAGATCCAGTTTTGTTATAACTGTGATCGCCCGATACAAAGGGTTAAGCCATCATATCCATATCCATATCCATATCCACATCCCAACAAACCCGAAATCACAATGGTACCTAGCTTATTTTCTCGTTAAAAGCGCGTTCAAAGATCGCGACCCATAACTTTTGGGAACAATTTTCTTGCGAGTAAAGTGGTCGACGAAGGGCGCTTGTCGGCAAGTAGCACGCGATGGCTTCGCTTGCAGAGAAAAGTAGGAGTCTTATCACAATGTGTACCTATCAGACTCTCTTCGAAACAAGTTATAACAAAATCATTCGGAATCTACGCGTATTCCAGGGCTTTCATTGGTCCACACAATGTAGTCCGCGAGAAAACACAGTTAACATGTTTTTCTATTCCCCTGAGATAAACAAGCGGATTTGTAATATAGGACTTGGTATGTGTGGGAATTAACACCTTTTAAGCAATATAAGATCAAAAACGGCTTCTTTCAAAAATGACTTTTTAAGATGTTTCCCTCTGACCGCAGCCAAAGAGCCAATCCAAATCGTCGAGAGTTTCCTTTCGCTAGTTCAACCAATCACGCAGAGAAGAAAGCCCTTTGGCGTAACTCCGCTAATGATAGCCGATAATCCGTCTTTGAGCACGCACAAAATCGTTTTCGGGAAAGCTGTCGGAACTCTACACTTGCTCCGTCGGCTGGTTGCGACGGCTAAGGTCGGCCTTGACGTCCAAAGGTGAAATTGATTAATTTTGTGGATCAATGCCACTGTAATTAGTGTTGGCGGTGACGGCATTACCGGTAACGGGTTACTTTCTGTGTAGCTTACTTGTGTAGCTTACTTACGTTACTTACTTGGTGTTGCAGAGTTTCGTTCCTTGTTATTTTCTCTTCCGAAGAGACACTTCAATATTTTCGTGTCTTTAGGCGACCGACAATGCGAATTTTGTAGGTTTGTTTTTGTGTGTATTTTGTTTCGCGGTCTTTTTTTTTTTTTTTTTTGTGAGCATTTATGTGAAACCGTAATATATATAAAGTAATTATGTTCAGTTTCTGCATGGACATAATGTGTTTCTTTTTTTAATATGGCGCTTAAGCATACCAGTAACGTATAAATAGCAAAACGTGTTATACCATACATAAATAAAAATATGCAAAAATAACGTGGGTTGCTGTTTATGGGTAATGCGTTCCTTTTATTTTCAAGTAAGGTAGTATGGTAACGCGTTAATTTTATTTGCAAGTAACGGGTAACTTCTATTTCGTTACTTTTTTCTGTAACGGCTACAACACCCGGTGTAATCCATAAACCTTGAGAAATGTATCATTTGAGATATGAACGACAAAAAAAAAGCATTTGTAGTGGCAGTACCTTATCCATTATTGCAGTAGACCTTATTCAATATTAGCCCGATCTCTCAAGAGGCTGCCCGCACTATCAGAGGCACAGCGTCATCTTGAATTCTTCAGAGCCCCAACAACCCTCCTCAATACGGACCCCACTCCCGCAACGAGACGTTCTTCGCGTGTTCTTGTTTCTTTTTTTTTTTTTCTTTCGCCTATACTAAAGGGACACTGAACCGAAATTTGGATTTCGCAAACTCAGGCCACAGAATTGCTAAACGGGATGCTACGAACTTCAAAACACTTCATACATCGATATCTCAAACGTATGGCCGTGTTTTTGAAACAGAAGTTCGCTGTCAAGCGAGGGCTATGACGTCATTCTTTCCCTGTAAATTTTAAGAATGAGGGGAAGCGGCCTCAACTCTTTCCTCCTCGCTTCGGTTCGCCAGCTTGACTGGACGTAGCGAGGAGAAGAGGGAAGGAGAATCGTGACGTGGCTTGTCTCGTCAGCCTCGTCGGCCGTGTTTCAATCACGCACATCGTTTCCAAAAACACGGCACTTCGTTAAAGATATCGCTGTATGAGTGACGCTTTCGGGTTTTACAGTTTCCGCCCTACCCGTCCAGACGTGCTTTGTGACCTCAACATTTTGGTTCAGTTTCGCTTTAACGTTGTCAGCCGTTCAAGAATAAATCAGAAATATTATGAAGCCTTTTTTTGTTGGTGGTGATTTCACGAAGAATTGCTTTTAAAGCATGAAATCCTTTGTAAGGAAACGCCCGAATCCCAACATTCTGTTTGTCCGTCCATCCGTCTGTCCGTGCATTACCCGTTATATTTCGCGGGAAAATTGACTTCACGTAAGCCAACGTCTCGTGACTTAAACACAGCAAGAAAATTGACGCCACGTAATTGATAGGCTGATCCAATTCTCCCTCTAAATTTAGCGACAAATCTACGTCTCTTAACTTAAACACCAATTGCAAACACCAATTGCGTTTCCCCGCTAGCTTTAGCTTGGAAATCAACGCCATTTCACCCCAGCACCAATTCAGTTTTCCCGGTAAGTCTAGCAGGGACCTCCCCCCCCCCCCCCCCCCCCCCCCTGTAGAAAGTCCTCACCATCTGCCTGCTTTCGCCTCGCCCCCACCTGCCTACAATTGCATAATTTTCCTCTGCTCCTCCCCTCTCTTTCCCCATCCCTCTCCAAGATTTAAGCGATACCTCCCTCCCAGTCCCTCTTTTTCCCTCTCTACTCATTGGTCGTGTAGCACACCAGATCAGTTTCCCTACTAAATATAGCCGGGTAATAAGCGTCATGTGACTCACCAAATCCTTCTTCCCATTTCGCTCTCCTTCACCTTCCCTCACTTGCAACCTCTCCCCAACCTTCTACAATGCCAACCCCCCTCAGCTCCCTCTCCCACCTTCCACCTTTCCTCCTTGCGTCCTCACCCACGCACCTACAATGCTCTTCCTTCCTCCCTTCCCATCCCCCTTTTTGCTCATGCGACATAAAAATTCAGTTTCATAAATTTATAAAAAGAAACACTTGGAGAACGCTTAAGCTTCTCCTTTAAAAGTGGAACGCGATAGCGATATCGGGCCCCGTTCGCAAAGCCTTTTCTTATAAACCCGCGCTTGTTCCCCAGTCGTGCAAGCGTGTGTGCGCAGTCTAGTCGGTAGCGTCACGTGTCACGTGACGTCACGTGACACTGGACATCACGTGAAACGTGACACGCTTGGCTAGCGCAATGTGTTCATGTTCTTTGCTGGTTCATTCTATGTATCTGAAAATGAGCTGATTATTTTGCACGACTGCATTCACCCTCTCTCCTGCAATATTTGTATCTGGCGCTGCGGGGTAATCTGGAATAACTAAATAATGCAGAGGACTTTAATTGGCGTTTTTTTTTTCGTCGTTAGCAATTTCAAATTAAGCAACGTTAGTTTAGAAACATACAAGGTCAGCTCGTCCTTTTTTCCAATTGCAGTTAGATTACTGTACTTCCTGATTCATCATGGGGCCATCTGTACTTGCCATATTGCTTCGAGTGAGTGGTACGTAACACACAAATTTTCGCAATCATCTCAAGAAACACCGCCGCCGGAAGATATTATAAAAATGCACTACTTCAAATTTTGCAGGACTCGTTAGCCACTTCTCCAATGAAAAATTTGAAGATACAAATTCCGACATGAAATCTCGTGAGTGATAAAAGTTGTAAAGTTACTAATTACAATTGACTGACTTGTTGCTATGATTTTGCTTTTACACTTCACGAATCTATAGAGCCAATCACGAATGCTTCAAACGGGTGTGCACTCGGAGGACGAGCATATAGAAGAACATTACTCAACGGGCAATCAATTAAAAAAGTCGAGGAACTACATCCTTTCACGACCCTTACGGACCGGAGTTTTTGTGTTCAGTTCTAAAATTATTTCACAAAAACGAGAAAACTGATTTATTAATATCTCCAAACCTTTAAAAAACGATAACGCTAACCTCTTCACTTTTTTTTTTCTTGCTTTCTCTTTTGCTTTCTCTATTTCTTGCTGCCTCTTTTGAACTCATTAAGGGGGCAGCATTAGCGTTTCCCAAAAGGGAACGGGCCTGACTTTTCCCAAGAATCATGCTAACGAATTCCCTAAGAATCCACCAAGGTATCTTCCTGCAATTTGTTTCACCCCTTTGGTGTGCTCTGCCTTTCGGAGTAGCTAGGAGCCCGTGGATGCGGTCATCCGTATCACTCCTGGAAAGAACCACATTCAAATCACTCGTGGAGGGAACCGCATTCATTGTTTTAGGTACACACACACCATCACGGCCCACACATCGCTCCTACAGAAACCCAGAGCGAAGAACATCCGGCGACGGCAGAGCAGCAACTGAGCCCGCATTCCACCGCGCCGCGGCGCAACACCTCCTAGATAGCAAAGCCACAGTGCTCAATCAGATGGCGTCATCAAAGAGGCCCAACGCTGGTCACAGATCGCATGGACACGATGATCGCGTCAACGTTCGGCTCAAACATGACTGGAGGCCAAGCGCGCACGCAGCACTCGCTGCCAATCTGCGTCCAGCGTAGGCCATCTCTGATGAAGCCATCTCATTCAGCACTTCGGCTTTGTTATTTAGGGGATCTAGACTCGTGTAACACAAAGTTCGAGCCAAAAGTTTGCATAGTGCGCCGATTGTACGTCGGCGAAAGAAGAGCGAAGTCATCTTCGTGATACGCCATTCAGTGCGCTCCGTCAACATCGGCCGAAACTTTGTATTTGACTATGTTTAGAAACCTAGGAGGCGTTGCGCGGCGCCTCCTCCCCTCTGGCTCCGCGCCAGCTGTGCACGTGACTATGACGAAAACAAAAGGGGTCATTTTGACTAAAGCCCGGCAGTGTCTGTCAGTTTGTCAGCACCGGAGAGGGAGGGAGAGGTCGACGCCTGCTGACGTCAGCGCATCGGACCAATGGGATCGTCCCACGCGTCAGCCACACAATCCCCCTTTCCCCCTCTTCCTGGCGCTGACAAAGAAAAAGACAACGCCGTGTTTCTATCAAGGCGAGCGTTCTAATACTGAAACATTATAATACCTTCTATACTCTGTTCACCCTTAAG